ACCCCACTGATGTCGTGGTATGCATCTCTGGATCTGGGGATCCTTCCCGAAAATTATCCCACGCCTCAAGCTCCTCAGGCGAAGGTTGTGAAGACAATCGATCTTGATCAGGTCTCCATCCCGCTGCGAGAATCCTCTGCTTCAGGTGAAAGCGAGAAGAGGCAAGTTCCAAGTGAACGGAGCAATGGTACCGAAGCAACAGCTCGCCCTCAGTATCAGGCAGACGACAAGCGAGTCAAAGACCGCATACAAAGAATGAAGAAACAACTTTTGGAGGAGTATTCCGACGTTTTCGCTACTCATGACGAGTTGAAACCAATGGATGGTCTTCCCGTCCATATCCATCTCCAGAAAGACGCGAAGCCATATGCTGTACACACGGCGAGAGACATTCCGATAGCATGGAGAGACGCAGTCAAGAAGGAGCTGGAGGACATGGTTCGCAGGGGGATCATCGCACCGGTCGGCGACGTCCCTTCCAGCTGGTGCAGCCCTCTGGTGATCGTCCCGAAGCACAATGGTCAACCACGACTGTGTGTGGACTACACCATGCTCAACAAGCAAGTCCAACGCCCCCTGCACCCAATGAGAACTCCAAAGGATGCAGTGTCTTCACTCCCTTCTGGAGCCCAGTTCTTCTCCACTCTCGATGCCGCTAATGGATATTGGCAGCTACCGCTAGACGAGGACAGCCAAAGTCTGACGACTTTCATCACCCCATGGGGAAGATTCAAGTTCCTGAGAACACCGATGGGACTCAACTCCACAGGCGACTCCTACTGCAGAAGAGGTGACGTTGCCCTGGATGGCATCAGCAACATCTCCAAAGTTGTTGATGACATCATCGTCGCCGATGCCAGCCTGGATGCCCACGTCGCCAGAGTCCGGTCAGTCCTCGAAAGATGTCGCCAACACGGCATCACTCTTCGGCCGGAGAAATTTCACTTCGCGCAGTCTGAAGTGAAGTATTGTGGCTACGTCGTCTCTCCTGACGGTAAAACTGTGGATCCAGGCAAGCTGGCAGCCATTGCAAACTTCCCCACACCGTCCAATATCACAGATTTACGATCGTTTATGGGCCTCGTGCAACAGCTGAATGACTTCACGCCGAGTATCGCAAGGGCAGCTGAAACTCTCCGGGGCTTACTGCAACCGAAGAACGTCTTCAATTGGACAGAAGCACACGAAGAGGCATTTAATGCGGTAAAAGAGGTGCTACTCGACGCCAACTCACTGGCCCACTTCGACCCGGCTCTTCCTACCGCACTTCTGACGGACGCGGCTCGATTGAAGGGAGTGGCTTACGCACTGATGCAGCAACATGAGGGAAGCTGGAAAGTGGTGCAGTGTGGTTCCCGATTCTTAAGTGACGCCGAGTCCAGGTACGCAGTAGTCGAGCTGGAGCTCTTGGCCATCGTCTGGGCTCTTCAAAAGTGTCGAACCTTCTTGATGGGACTCCAACACTTCGAGGTAGTGACGGACCATAAGCCCCTTATTCCCATTTTGAATGACTACACGCTGGATTCTGTGGAAAATCTCCGGTTGCAGCGACTCAAGGAAAAAACGAGCATGTACTCGTTCAAGGCCACGTGGCGTCGAGGGAAACAGCACGCTATCCCGGATGCATTGTCACGATCTCCAGTCTCTTCGCCGACCTCAGAGGATGCTGCGATCGTGCAAAGCATTGATCTTCACGTCGGCGCCATCCAGCGGGCTTCAGACATGCAGCTCTCTCAGCTGCGAGACACCGCAAAGGCAGATCATCAGTATGCAGCCCTGGTTGACATGGTCTTGGAAGGATTTCCAAGCAACAAGTCCGACATTCCCAGTCATCTACTGCCGTTTTGGAAAGTGAGACACGATCTCTGCGTGGATGATGGCATTGTTTTGAAAGGAGCGCAGCTCGTCATTCCACAGCAGGAGCGGTGCAACGTGTTGGCTCGTCTTCATGATGCACATCAAGGCATCGAACGAACGAAGAGACGGGCGAGGCAAGTGGTCTGGTGGCCAGGAATATCAACGGACATCAAAAACACCGTCCAAGGATGCCAGCTATGTCAAGAACGACTACCAAGTCAGAAGCGTGAGCCGCTGATGACGGACCCCCCACCTACTCGAGTGTTTGAAGAAGTTGCTGCAGACATCTTCAGTCACGCTGGGCGATCTTTTTTGGTATATGTCGACAGACTTTCCGGGTGGCCTGTTGTGCATGTGTTCCCAGCGGGTGACACAACCTCAAGGCAGGTCATTCGAGCGTTGCGTCAGAACTTCGTGATGCTCGGTGTTCCTGTAACGCTGCGCTCAGATGGCGGCCCTCAATTCAGCAGCCGAGTCTTCGGAGACTTCGTGCGGAGGTGGGGAGTTAACCCTATTAGTGGCAGGGGGGGGGGGTTGTTTTCATCCACCCCTCAGGTTTTTCGGGAATATCTCCGAAACCGCTGAAGCTACGATGCTGAAATTTTCTGACTTTTCCTAAAACTAAATTGGGCACATTCCCTGAAAATTTCAAGTTCATAACTTTACCAGGGGCGGCTCCAGAGCACTGGGAATTGGGGGGTCCTATTCGTGAAGCGAGTCATTTGGGCGAAGATCACGATGCTGCACCAGTTTTACGAACAGTGAATGAAAGGTATCATGTGATAACATATACAGTTATTGTGCATCCTCTTTTGACACGTTTTTGCTATAATAGGCGGATCCAGGCGTCCAAAAAGGAGGGTTATGTTTTACCTCCCAACATAGGTGCCCTGACACCGCCTATGCATGACCAATACAATTGTAGTCGTTCTCTCATAAGAAAATTGTAACATAACAAGACCATTACCACCCTTTTTAGAAACAGTACCAACAAAAACCTTATTTACTATACTTTTTGTGTACCCCCAATCTCAATGATCTGTATCCGCCTATGATTTTTGAAAATGCATATTTTTAGGATCCATGTGAATTCCTGGTTCATTCTCTATCGATCGGCAAAAGTTGCGTTAAGATTGGTTCAGAAACCTGGCCGTGATAAACAGTCTAAAATGTATCTGCAATTTGCCCGTTTTTACCCCCCTCTACCCCCCCTATTGACATTTTTTAATTTTTATTTTTTAGAAATGTAGATCACGTTGAGCGAAATCGAATGCCGTTTGAATTTTGAAAATCGGCCCGTTAGATCTCGAGATATCAAGGGGGGGTCGTAAACAGCCCCCCCTGCCACTAATAGGGGTAGCCAGGAGCCTGCCACTAATAGGGTTAAGCATGTGATGTCATCTCCCCACTTCCCACAGTCCAACGGTTTGGCAGAGTCAGCCGTCAAATCCCTGAAACAGCTCGTTGCAAAAACCACCGTCGACGGCAACTTAGACGATGAGAGGTTTGACCGGGGTCTTTTGGAGTTGCGCAACAGTCCACGTGAGGGCGGCCAGTCTCCAGCCCAAGTGGTACTGGGTCATCCACTCCGAAGCTGTGTTCCAGCTCATCACCGAAGTTTTGCTCCAGAATGGCAGGCTTCAGCAGCGAAGTGTGATCAGGCGAATGCAGAGAGGCGCCGTAGGACAGAAGAAACCTACAACCGTTCTGCGTCTCCTCTTCTTCCGCTGAAGATCGCCGATGAAGTCCGCCTGCAGAACCCTCTCTCCAGGATGTGGGACCGCACAGGCGTGGTCGTGGGAATCGGTCGTCACAGAGATTACCACATCAAGCTGCCGAGTGGGCGAGTCTGTTGGAGAAACCGACGCTTCATCAGGCCTCTCCATCCATCTCTTCCCGGCGGTCCATCTAACTCGTCCTCCGTCTGTGTTGCGGACGAGGCAATGCCTCCACCACGTCGCAGTGCGCGTGCGCGCCACCCACCGAACAGGTATCGTCCTGCTCCGTGATCTGTGTTATGCCGTACGGTCAATGCCATGTTATGCCGGGGAGATGTTATGCCGTACGTTCAAGAGGACTCTGTGACCTGTTCGCTGTGATGCGTAGTGTCCCGTATTCGTTTACGTGTTCCGTTTATGTTGGAACACTGTGCTTTGTCTGGGCAGAACGATTTGTTTTTGTTTGTCTCACTACTTGTTAGCTCTCCCAGTGCGCCAAGACCGCTGCATTATTCAGTTGCATCGGTCTTGTGGGGGGGGGGGGGAGATGTTATGCGCATAAGCATTGACGGAGGGAGATTCCTTCGCGTTGGTGTATGTGTGCTGCCATACGCGTCTGTGGCCAGCTGAGCTGGCACTCACTTGATCTGTGTTGGTCGCGAGAGGAATACACCTGTGTGCGCAAGACGGACGACTCTTCGGATCCCTGAACCGTGAGGACCACTACACAGATCATAACAGGCGTGACGCGGAGTTCTGTAATGCCCCGGATAAGCTGCGATGATGGGGGTGATAGTCGGTCCGGTGCTTCAGCGGTGACGGCGTGTTCACTTTGTCAGCTACGTGGGCTTCTCTTATGTAACCACAGTGTCCTGGAGACTACTTCTTTCGTACAAATTCACTAGTCAGGAATAGAGGCTTTAGATCAATTAGCTTATGTTATTTCCTCGAGTTATATAGAACGTCTTTATGATCTTGTTCCGTGAATGCACCTTTGTGATGCGACATGCCTACTAAGAATGATATGTGATTTTTGAAGGTGACCCACAAAGTGCTCTTGAGACTCCAGCGAATCATATTGAATTTGGTCATATCACAAGCTGAAAAAATCACACAAAGTCGCGTCTTATGCTGCTTTAGCGATCTCGCTAACCGCGTGACGGCCAGCCTACATCCAGCTGATACCGCATTACCAAACTAACGTAACCCTCTCCTGTGATAACCAAAGTGACAGCAATGACATCAGTTGGACCTTGCAATTTGATGTTTATTGTTAGTCAAAAGAAAACTACATAAATAAATAGAAAGAATGGTGTACAAACGACATAGTGCGATAACATTTCCTCGCGAAGAGCTAGTGATCTGATAACCTCAGTGCTGAGCCTGACCCTTCCGTTGACCTGTTGTGACCCGTGCCCGCCTCAGGTGCAGTACGTGCGCAAGTCGTTTCCGGCGTGGGACGGCACGTGGCTCGTGCCGTGTCTGGGTGCCACGTCCGGCCTGGGACGGCTGGTGTTCGGTAGGATAGCCGATATGCCGCGCTTCAACAAGATCGTCCTCCAACAGGTGAGGGTATGGCCAGAGAATCGTGGAGCAGCAACGGCGTCCATTTTCGAATTTGGCTTCTTGTAGGTACAACATTTTATTTCGGTATTCTTATAAAATCAATGCTATTGTACGTGCCAGTTACTGTGTGGCCGCTGCTGAAAGCTCTGAAATCCCCGGGATTAGGTCTGGCCTGATCGGTTTCTGATACCCGCGGCTCGACCGTGTCTGGATGCTGGGATACCCTAAATCCAAGAACGAATCAGACAGCCGGGTATAGGTTAGATTCGGCTGTAGGGTTCGAATCGAGACGCTCTGGAATCTGGATGGTGTCTTTTTAGGTCTTCATATTCATGAACTGAATCAAATCCAGAGAGTAATTTCACACGATAAAATATGCTCAAAACCTGTGAGAAAATGCAGGCTAGAACAGTTGCTCTTCTTGAAGGTTTCGCTGCTGTCAGCCCAATGACCCGTGATACAGTAACAGCGTAGTACTACTCGCACTGAAGACTGCTGTGTCACGATCGACTCAGGTGTCCCCTCAGGCAGACACAGAGGTCATGACCTCGCAGACGACAGGTCGTGGCCCTGCTGACATACGGTCTACTCTGAGACCGTGAGAAACCCCGCCCCTCAAAGGGACATGCACGGTCGTCGGTCAAGGCATCGTCAGCAAATTGTGACACCAACCCATCACTTAATGAACATATGTAACGTTATACATGTTACAGGGAGTATGCGATTTCAGTTAGTTTGCAACGACCCTAGGGTGGTTGTAACCTCCCTGAACGATCAGTTTGTTTGCAACGACCCTAGGGACGTTACAAAATAACTGCTCGTTCCGGGACGTTGTAACGAAACTAGGGTCGTTGCAACCTCCCTAGTTAGTATGCAACGAACCTAGGGTTGTTACAAAATAACTAGGGAGTTTAAGAATTCATCGAGTCTTGTTTCACAGGAGGGCCGTCAACAATCTTGACCAATGAAAATATTGTTCAATCTACATAGTTCAGTTTAAAAGAAAAGGAGAACAAATTAGAAGAGTCACACATTTCGTTTTTCTCACAGACAATGACAATAGGTACAAAAACAATGTAATAAGACCAGACGTTTCGACAACAAAGTGCCTTCGTCAGTGGAAAAACAAGATATAGGCTTTACATCGATAAAAAATATAGAATATAGTTACTGGGGTCTTCTATATTTTTTATCGATGTAAAGCCTATATCTTGTTTTTCCACTGACGAAGGCACTTTGTTGTCGAAACGTCTGGTCTTATTACATTGTTTTTGTACCTATTGTCATTGTCTGTGAGAAAAAGGAGAACAAAATTTGAACATTCAGCCAAGGAGTATATGTGGTGCCCGGGACAAAGCACGTAACTGTGATAATTTTGGCTGCATTATATCGCCAGCATATGCTTACATGTAGAAAATATAGTTACTGGGGTAGGTGTGATGGATATCCGTCGCTATCCGTTTGCGGGTTATCCCTCACACTTTTAGGGGTGCGGGTCGGATAAAACCCCTCGTTTTATTTCGCGATTATCTCGCGCTAAAAGCGGCCGATCGTGACGAAACTTTGAGTGTCCTGGAACTTATCTACGTTACTGGTTACACATTCCCTATACAGTTCATGATCCTGAAACCAATGGCATTTGATCTTTGATCTGATTTCTGAGACCATGGCAGACCGAAATTATTTGCCATATCCCTCGCCCTGGCAGGGGGGGGGGTCGATGCGACCCCCCCTAAGGTTTTTCGAAGATAGCGCAAAAACGGCGGCGCGCAGCGCCGCCAAATTTGGCACAGCCTATGGGGCAACCTTTTTACATATGACCTGAAAATTTCAGGTCCGGGTGACCTTGGGTCAGGTCACCAGGTCAGAAAAACCGGTACAAGGTCATGGTCAAATTTCAATTTTCTTTTTGCACCTGTCCAACTCACAGTTTTGCACTGATTTCCTTCAAACTTTCAGGATGTGCTAAGTTCACCGAATTGTATAACATATAGTTCGGGTTTTTTGAGGTCACTGACCTGAGGTCAGTTAGAGGTCATTACGTCGTAATGCAAGGTTTTTAAAGGCTTCATCTCATCATCATATTTACTTGGGTCTTTTAAGCTCCATATATCCGCGAGGCCGACCAGAAACACACCATTAATTGATGTGCCGTTCGCCAGGGTGAACACCATATCAGGAGGGCTTTTTGTGCGCATCCCTCGCTGCGTCAATCAGTTTCTTGAGTTCTCGCCTAGGTCAGATATTTTCTTTGACTCGATCGGGCGGCTCAAGCGAGAGGCATCGGCGTATGCGTCAACACTGGCGTGCGTTATGTAACAGTCAGCCTCTGTCGGATGCAAAGAAGTGGTTTGTGTGTGTGTGGGGGGGGGGGGGGGGATTTATGCATGTTGATGTATGCGTGTGCGTGTGACTTCACCTGTCATTGGGCGTAAGCCTGTTGGTGATTTATGAAAATACAAGAAATACAAGAAATGTTAAGCCTATGGGAAAATACTAAATTCGGAAAATACTGGAGATATCCGCTTCGTTCTATCACTTTTGTGCTTTGAAACCACAGTACTTAACAGCAGGATACTTGGTGCTTCTTTGTTTGGTGTACTTATCCATGGGTCAGGTCAAATGAGGTCAACTAAGGTCAAATGACGTTTTTACCAATAACTTGGCACATAATGACGCTAGAGCTTACAAAATGGTTTCATTGTGTTCCTGGTGATCAGCCGAATCGAATGATATGCGATATGATGCAATTTGGTTAACTTTAACTTAATTTATTAATTTAAGTTTACTTAAAATTTAAGAAAAACTTTAAGTACACTTAAGCAAACTAAAAAGTATATCATTCGACGCGCCGTGACGTGCTGAGTTCACTGGTGCTTTTCTTTTTGCTCTATCTTAATTAGATCAAAAGTTATAAGCGAAAACTTTTGACCTGTTTTTAGCGAAATTTTTGCATTTATACCCCCAAAACCCCCCTAAATATTGACCTAGAGCAACCAAATTTGCACAGGGGCGAGAACTCCAGGGGGCCCACCTACCTACCAAATTTGGTGTTTCTAGGTGCCATAGGAGCCAATCGCGAGGGGGGGGTCGCATCGAACCCCCCCCCTGCCAGGCCGTGTTATGAAAAATGCCCTGCCAGGGCGAGGGATATATGTTAGCGCACATAAAATTGCGTTTCCGGACTTCTATTGTGATTACATATAAACGTGCCAACATGTGAACTGATGGTTGTCCCATGCATCATGATGGGTTTCAAGTTGAATTGTCAGTTGTCGGCCAGGTGAAGGTCATTGACGTTTGGTGACTTCGGGTGACTGTTTCAAATTTTACGATTTTAAGGGAATTTTTTTAGCTTATTTTGAATCCAGCATTCGTTGAGACATTTGAGAAGTACGTAGGTATAGTTGTAACGCCAATGCAACTTGCTACGAAGCTGTTGCTGGTGGTTTAGTTACACCTGCTAATATAAACAGGTTGTGCGGGTGGGACGCTTCTACTTGACCCAAACTTACCCAACCCAGCCTGGCTTTATCCTCGCCCCCCCCCCCCAAAGTTTTTTTCGCGATAGCTCCGAACATGCCAGCAACAGAGAGCTGAAACTACGCATACCTGACCTTTGATTCAAGCCAGATCTCGTGATATCAACCAGATTTTCAGGTCAGGTCAGGTTACTGACCTATGACGTCATAAGTGGACGGTCCTCAGATGCCGCAACTTCGCAACGCCCTCAGTCCCAGAGGAGTTTTTACAGGGTGATGAAGCTTACAGTACGTGCATCTTCTAGAAGTCTCACATTGTACCTCTAGGATTTTTCCTAAAGATCACATGAGGTCAGGTCGGTCACGTGACCTCACCACTAAAAGTCCATTGAGAAAAATGAAAACTGCTATTCTGGCGCCGGGAACGATCTCAAACTATCTCAAGCACACGGATCGTGATTTAATGCACTCCTTGCAAGGTTAGATGCTTCAATTTTGCATTGTTGACGTTGCATGACGTCATTTATGACGTCACTAGGGTCATACGAGCTTTTCGTCAATAACTCCCGATCAAACTGAGCTAGCGAGACGGTTAACCTGCGCACCGACGGGGGGGCGGATATCCGCCCCCCCCCCTGAGGTTTTTCGCGAATAGCGGGAAAACCGCGGCGCGTAGCGCCGCGAAATTTAGTATGACTATTCCTTAATCAATTTTACACATAGTGTGCAAGTTTGAACCTCCTACCCTTTAAGGTCAGGTCACCAGGTCACTTTGAATGACCCAACCTCAAGTCACTTTTTTGCAACTTTGTCACCGTGCCAGAGCTACAGTAGATGTCGGAGGCCTTTGAAAGTCGCAGGATATTATAAGGTCATTAGTAGCTACAATTTTTATATCTCGGAATTTTGATATCGGTGACCTAAGGTCAGGCCAATTTCGCGACCTCCCCATTATAAGTCAATGGGGGAAAAATCAACTCCCTGTTTTTACCACTAAAACGGATCGGAATGGCCCCATATACCATACATGATTTCATATACGATCAACCTTCACTACCTTGAGGTCTGTTTTGCTGTTGGGCAGCTGTGAGGTCATGTGACGTCATCAAAGGTCACCAAAGGTTTTTGGTCAATAACTCCGTACAGGAACAAGGTCCAGACGCGTGGATGGTCTCATTGTGTTCAGCTCGTCAAGACGCATCGAATGATATACATGATGACCTCGAGGTCACGTGACCTGAGGTCAACCTTTGACCTTGACCTTTCGAGGTCAACATATATATCATTCGATGCGGATTGACGAGAGGATCACGATGCTGCCCTTAGCTTGTTCCTAGCTTGACTAATTCGAAAGTTATTCGAGAAAAACTCTCTCCATATCTAGCGCCGCCATTTTGACTTTTTCGACCCCTGTGACGTCATCTTTGACCTGACCTGAAAATGACCTTTGTAAAAATTGTAGATCTTGACCGTGCGTATCCGATGCCGTTAACTGCTTGTCGCTATCTTGCTTCGCTCTCGAGATCTCAGGGGGGGGGCGGTCATCCGCCCCCCCCCCCGTCGGTGCGAAGTTGGCGCAGACCCCCGTCGGTGCGCGGGTTAAGCCACCGATGGACACAGGAAGACCTGCCGAATCGAATAATATGCAACATGACCTCCTTTGACCAATTTCGCGACCTAGGGGTCTTTGACCTGACCTTGACCCGAGGTCAACACCTCAAGTTGACCTCACCCGAACAAAAAGTATACCATTCGATGTGCGTAAGCAAGGCGAGCACGTTGATGCTAAAATCGCGCTCAGCGACTGTTTTTTTTTTTTTAAAGAAGTTATTAATCAAAAACCGAACCCGTGTCTTGGGTCACTTGACCTGACGGTCACCGGTTGACCTGAGACCTTAAACTCGGGTACTAGTTGCTGCCTCTCCTAACGGCACACACGCTCGTTTTTTCCGCGACGCTCTAACTCCATCAGGAGTGAAAAACGACGAGAGGGTCGTACCAACCCTCCCCCCGGCCGGCGCGTATGTAGAAAACCAGGTCCTGCGGCGTTAACTCTCGCCCTTATTGGTGTTTTGCTAGCCGCAAATGCACAGGGCGGGGATAGGTTATGGGTTGACCTTCCAGGTCAGGTCAGTGACTCAAAAGTCGGGAAAATCGGGACCCGTTAAAACTTTGGAGAGTTAGGTTGTTAAGAGTTTTTTTCGGGGCGCTGATCACGAATTTCATATTAGCTTTGATCACCGATGATGTCTTGATGTTTTTAGGCCAGGTCGGGTCAGGTCAGGTCAGGTCAACCAGTAGGTGTCTTGCTAGCTGTCCATAGTAGGTGTCAATCATCACTGGCAGCTTCGTGACATGGTACGAAGGCGCCAAAATTACTTCTTTAATGTTCAAATGGGTGCTAAATTCGAAATCAGCTCCAAAAACTAGCCTAAAAATGTATGAACCCAGAAAAAGTGAAGTAAGGTCATCAAAGGTCAATGACATTGACCTGACCTTCACGTGACCTTGACACCCACCATAATGCATGGGACCACCATCATTTTACATGTTTGAACGTTTATAATCACAAAAAGACTGGAAACGAGCGGATAATGGCCGTTTTTACGAAGGGCTTCCTGGCGAATGTCCATCTAATTTGCACAAAACTGCACCAACTGTGCACCTAATCTGCACAAAATGTGCACTAGATGGCCGTCGTGAAATACTCCTAAGCTGAATGTTTAAATTTTGTTCTCTTTTTCTTTTAGACTGAACTAGATTAGATTGAACAAGATTTTCATTGGTCAAGATTGTTGACGGCCCTCCTGTGAAACGAGACTCGATGAATTCTTAAACTCCCTAGTTATTTTGTAACAACCCTAGGTTCGTTGCATACTAACTAGGGAGGTTGCAACGACCCTAGTTTCGTTACAACGTCCCGGAACGAGCAGTTATTTTGTAACGTCCCTAGGGTCGTTGCAAACAAACTGATCGTTCAGGGAGGTTACAACCACCCTAGGGTCGTTGCAAACTAACTGAAATCGCATACTCCCTGTAACATACATACAACGCAAAGTGTCAGGGGATCTATCATTGCCGAAGAGATGGTCTGAGGTCGAACGGATCAGAGTGACATGACACGGGCCAGACCCCTCCGGTGCAGCTGCACCAGTGTTACGAAAGTGTCGTAAGTCAGGCGGAGGTCGAGACAATGGAAGATGAAAGGTCAGCATCCAGACCAGTTGCACATCGTGCACGACACCTCAGTATGTGCCACGACAGCTGCAGTTTGTTTGGAGAAAGACAAGAATGAAGATGCCAATCATACAAGTTGCCTAGTTCGAGTTGAACGGTTCAACGTGCGTCGTTCCCAGCTTCCGATAGATGTCGTTTCAATATACGAGTAGCATTTAATTTCATCTATTGACCTATTTTTTATCATTGACTTCACCTGTCATTGGGAATATCCCCTTCGTTGATGCGTGAACTTAAATAGGGAGATGAAATGAAATCGTCATGTGCCGTTCCCTGAACCTACCAAATGTCGTTCCCGTGTGGTCTGCCGCTCTAGTGAATGATGATGGTGAATCACCAGCGCCGTTCTTTGTACCCCATTAGGTGTCGTTCCGTCGTCCGCCGTTCCACCGTATCACCACGCGCCGTTCTCTGCTCCCCATTAGGTATCGTTCCTGGTGATTGGCACGCTGACGGTGACGCTAGCGTTCTGCCGGTCGTTCCCGCTGCTCGTTGCCATCGTCCTGGCCATGGGTCTGTTCGACGGCTGTTTCATCTCGCTGCTGGGACCGATCGCCTTTGAGCTGGTCGGCCCGGCCGGCGCCTCGCAGGCCATCGGCTTCCTGCTCACACTCTGCTCCGTCCCGCTCACCGTGGGACCCCCAGTGGCCGGTGAGTTCCACACTCTCACCCTCTGCGCGGTCCCGCTCACCGTGGGACCCCCAATGGCCAGTGAGTTCCCTATTCACCCTCTGCTCGGTCTTGCTAACCGCGTGGGACTTGCAGTGGCCATTTAGTTCTCTAAAAAATGGCACATTCCTAATTACAACCTACGTCCTGCGCGATGCTGCGAGTGTTCTTTTGCGCCCGGGAGGTCACCAGCGCCCTTGCGGAGCATTTGGTTACGATGAAACCTTGAACGCTATGGTAAGCTCCTATCGCTATCGGTCAGACACCATACTCGGACACCACGAATGACCCGCTCTCAGTCTGTGCATGAACGTTGGGCATGATTAACCTCCTGACCATCTAACCCGCTCCGATGCCATTCCGGCAGGTATGCTGTACGATCACACGCACTCGTACCAGACGGCGTTCGTGCTGGCCGGCTGTCCGCCAATCCTGGCCGCTGTGGCCATGTGCCTCATCCACCGGATCGCCGCTCCCCTGCCCGACGCCGTCCAGCAGCGCAAAATGTCAGCCGCACACGCAGACGGCCACGAGCACCACGAACAGGTGAGGGAACAGATAATGAACAGGCAAGGGAACAGATAATGAACAGGTGAGGGAGCAGATAATGAACAGGCGAGGGAACAGATAATGAACAGATGAGAAAGGAGACACTAAAGTTCAACTATGTGAACATAATGGAAAGTAATCGACGGAGGGGCGAGAGAGGACGTTTGTAATGGAGTCAAATTTATCCGTGATTTATGGAGGGCTCACTAAAACACGAACTCGAGCAGTGCTTTGTATAGGTACTTTTCCGCCTGATCAGTGACTGAAATGCTCAGCACTGTTAGAACCGCGCCAACGGAATCAAGGGTGCACCGTTAATAATCAACTCTATTGTATCGTCTAACTGTGGCTCAGCTCATTCTGGGCTCGGCGCCAGCCACCAGGCCGGTTGAAACGCCACTTAGGTCCGCTGCCAACTGCGCGACCTTACGAGAAACGTGAAATATTTACATACATTCGGCGCACGTAACACATCGAAAGGACACTATGGTCAACGGATATAGTCTCCATTTAATTATCGCCGGGCCCATCCGCATCGGTTCTAAACCCCCTGGGAGTTGTTCTTTGGTGGAACACCGAACAGCCCTCCCACCACTCGAGCGGCCATGCCCTATATGGCCTAAGGACCGTCGGGCGCCGGTCCGGAACAGAGGGTGTGCGATCAATGGGGTGGGGTGGACCTGAGGGATGGGCTGGACCTGGTTATGACAAGATCTTGCAATGGATGATCAGCATCTGACCGTTATATTTTCACGTCGCCAGCTGCCGCAGTGTGAGCAGCTTCTGGGTGCTGCCTCGCACGCCGTCTAGCGTCCGGAGATAGAAGCTGCAGTTCAGCCGTCGTCCGCTACAAGTCCGAGCTGCTCTGATGACATCAACGGATCTTGGTGACGTCAACAGAGTTTGATGACGTCAACAGTCGGACGATGTGTCCTCAATGGGGTGAATGGAAATGAGTTCGCGTACGCAAATGACATGTGTATTTTTATGTGAAAGCATATCAGTGCTTCCAGGGCTAGCATATATTGCAATTAGAGTTGTTATTTTGTCCTTTTAGTTATTATGCCAACGGCAACTGTCCACCAACCAAACAATTCCTTCTATGTAGTTAGGTACATGCTTAATATTTATTCTCGTACCTTAGACACCAATAGGATGCCATTTCTTCGAAATATTAAAAGAAAGAAGCACTTGACGGTTCAACACCCTTTTATAGATTTCCACAACCCCAAACCCTGTCCCCCTGCTCCATCGTCTTAGCCTGTTTGTCATAGGATTAGAGCCTATACATGTAAGGATAAGAACCTACACCTATACATGCATTTGTTGTTTCTGAGAGTATCTAATCCGAAAGGGTAGATAAGTACACTATCCAGCGTCCAATGCCCACGTATTTAGACAAGGAGGTCAATTTATCAATAGCCTCGTCACTATCTTCGGCGCATTGCTTCCCTTAGACGCACATCCGATATAGGGCCCAAGGCTCTGTCACATCCGTATAATTAATGGCATAGGGGCATGATCGAAATGATCCCCTGTTGACTGGGAAAAATAAACGGATAATGGAATTATGTCTATGAGACATGCAAAAACGTGTAAACGATTACAAACACACAGGCTCAAGCGCTCTGGGACTGAGCACTTAAAGGTGCCTATAAGGACTGAGTCCATAGCCCGTTTGGTTTGAGAATTGTTATCGTGGTTGGATTAGGTTAACACTTAATTGAAATGTAAACACATGTGGGTATGTGTAATTGCAATGAGCAGTGACATCTTTTATGACGAATTGGCCGCTGGAAGTTGATATATGTTTGCATGACTCTCGTGTGTGACGTTACGATGTGACAAAACGCTTTTTCAGCGTATATCTTGTGTCCTTATAAGATGTGTGCAACATTGATGATGCCATATAGACAAATAAACTATGTCCAATCTTTATTATGTCAATTCTCATCTGGGTAAATGGGGGTACTTGGGCAATTGCGCAAGGGGTAGTTGAATACACAATACTATCACAGCGTATTACGTCAGAGTCACCGCATCATGTCAAAATTCTAAATTCTGATGGATATCGTTCGGCAGCTACGATCATATGACAGAGTGTCACCTCAGAGGATAGAAGCAGGACAAGCTGGAAGTATCTCTGATGAATTATTATGTTGAGGTGACCATTGGCGTATAACACTCTAAACTCCGTATCCGTAATATAAATTACAAAGCGACACCATCGAACATGAAATGACAGGATATGCTGCGCAGGCGAGCAGCGTTTCAATCCATATGCTCAGTGCTGCAGTTATACCGGTTGTTCACAACTCACAGAATGTAGCCTTACGAGTGACCGGTAGGGTATCGAAGGGGACCGGTATCGAACATTGACAACAACATTTTAACGGCTCAAAATTTTGGTGTTACAAGGACTTTCTTTTAAGCAGGCTCTTTTGACTACAGTCAGTCACAAACTGTTTCAGTATCTTAACCCGCGCCCTGGGGGGGGGGGGTATTTTTTGCCCCCCCCCCCCTCAGACTTTTCGATATATCTCCAGAACAGCTGCGCCGATGGTCACCAAACTTTCAGTACCCTCCCGGGCATCAATTTTACACATTGTGACAAAACAATTTTCCAAAGAATTTGATAGGTTGGCCGCAAATGACGTCAGAGTGACGTCATGTTCTACCGTTTTCGACCCAAAAAAGGTTTCGCGGGAAGTGCTGCCAGGCCTGTACCTTTAAAGATGCAGAAAAAAAAACTTTTAAGACATAAAAGGTGTTGAATTAGCAGGGCTATCGAACTACCAGTTCGGAATTTTCATTTTTTTGAATTTTGACCAAAAAAAATCCAAAAACATCTGTTGAATATAATTGCCAAAATATCAAAAAAAAGTTTTTCGACTTTAGAAAAAAGGAATATATGTGATAGCCCTTACCAAATTCTATTCACATACCAAATTGTAGATCGATGCCTCTCTTTTTGGCCAAGTTATATAAAAAAAAACTGTTTAAAATTGATGACAATTGTTAGCAATTCTAGACCACGTAGCGCAAAACAAAGACCACCATTAGACTCGCAGCGACGAGCTGCATCGAATCAATACCAATATTATGCAAAAATATCAACTTTGAAATTTGACTATTTTGACCTGACATTGACTTGACCTCCACCAGGAAGTGACCTAAACCGTTCCTGGTAGTCTTATAATCAATACCATTGAGTTTGAAATGAAAAATTGGCCATAAAACATGCATAACACATTCACACAGCCACAGTAAAATTGGGTTCATGTGCTGACCCTTGGTGACCTGACCTGGTATGACCATTGACCAGTGACCTTTAATAGCAACATATGTACGAAACAACTGACGCCCTATCGCTGATTTTCGATAAAATGCGTTTTATTCGATGTTATAGCGCATTCCCTAGAAGACCCGTGACCGGCAAAACATTTTATCTTTGACCTGACCTGTGCCGTCATCGGTGACCCCGAGGTCAATGAAATTGGATTTCCCTCAACAAATTTGACTGGGCTTTCGAACACCGTTTGACTTTTGTGGATCCGTCCAGTAATTTCGGAGATACGAGAGGGGGAGGCGAAAAATACCCCCCCCCCCCCACCAGGACGCGGGCCACCAGGGCGAATAAGCAGTTATTGCCGAACTTACCTGAATATCAATATTGAACTGCCGCTAGCAGATGACCGTCTGCCTTGTGACAAATAGCCACACGAGTTCAATCACAACCATACGCACTGGCACCGCTCAGCAGGGGACGATGGGACCAGAGTCATATGGGACTTCCCCGCCCAGCCAGAGGCGTCTCCAGACACGAGCGATCGTGGGAAAGTGGGGCGGGATGGGGGTGAGTTACCACGAACCAAGGGACGGAATGCCGTACGGCGCCTGTTGCCCGGCGCCGGCACTGTTCGAAGTCACCAACAAAATGAGCTGTGACGTCTGGATTCAGCAGACTGTGCCTATCAGAGTACAGTGCGCACAGTCAGCGCCCACCGCCCCACAATCGGCCGACTTCCACCCCCGGTGATGAGCGGGATCCGCCATTGGTTATGGCTGCAGAGAGCAGCGCGTCAGAGGCTGCGTCAGAGGTCATAGGGGTTGTTGCATGGGCCGGGCGCAGTCGGTGCAGTTGTTAGTCAACGGTCGGTGCGGCGGGTACCTGCACGTCGTTACAGCGAGTAGCAGGACGAGCGAGTGGCACGCCGAGCTCAGACAACTCCTGAGGGAGGAGAGACGTCGAATCCTCACCTGCTGTCCGGTGAGTACTGAGTTTTGATGGCTAGTCATCGCTGACGGATGGGCGAGGTGTCATTGTCATCACGACGCGCATCCTATTTGCGTGGTGCGTGTTTTAACCCGCGCCCCACTGGGGTCTGCGTATAACACGCCCTACTGGGGGGGGGGGGGGGGGGCTATTCATAGCCCCCCCCCCTCCTAACTCCGAAACTACTGGGCCGATCGTCAAAATTCAAACGGCGTCTGATAGTCCCGGAAAAACTGTCGAGCGAAACCTAATTTCATTGACCTCGAGGTCACCGATGACGTCACAGGTCAGGTCAAAGTAAAAATTATTAGCATTTTGGCTTGTTCACGTTTTAGGCTCTGGCCGCCGTCGTACAAGTCAGATCAGGCTCATTTTTGGATCACACACTCGGGAACAGATGCTCTAGTTACCTTGAGGGTAACAAACTTGTACTTTGATTTTCAGGTCAAGGTCAGGTCATCACAGGTCACGAAAATATTATATCATGCGTCGGTCACGTGACACATGTTTTATGGTCCATTTAGGTCAGAGATTTCGAATTTGATGTCGTCTGTGTCATTCGAGGTCATTTTGAGTCGAATTTAGCTTATGTTAGGTCACTTTCAGGTCAAAAAAGGTCAAATTTTGAAGTTAAAATTTTTCCACAAAGAAAAGGTGTCTATTGGATGCAGTTTGAGCTCAGGAACACGATGGTGCTATTTATATTGGCGTACGATGTCAAATACGTGCTGAAAAATTGATTTGAAAAATTAATATTTGTGAATTTTTTGCAATAATGCGTAAAACTTGGCCATTTTTGAAGATATTTAGCTAAAACTTGCTAGAGTTAGTCATAATAATGCGTTCTATCACATATATTCCGGTTTCTTCGAAAAGTCAAAAACTTTTTGAAAAAAATGTAAAAATATACATTTTGGATATTATTATATCCAATTTTCAAAATTTTCAAAATTTCGAAAATCCGAGATAGCAGTTTGATAGCGCAGTCTATTCTGAGTCCTTTCATGCAAAGAAAATGGATCTAGCTTAAAAATTGAGCTCTTGGGAGCGATTGCCGTGGTTCAATGTTTTGCGTCGAAATCGGCCGAACATGACGTCACTCTGACGTCATTTCCGGCCGATCTATAGCAGGTACGAAGTTCAAATTTTGACACAAGGTGTCAAATTGATGCAGCCTAAGGTACTGAAAGTTTGGCGTCGATACGTCAAGCGGTTTGGAAGTTATTGCAGAAAAACGGGAGGGGGGCTATAAATAGCCCCCCCAGTGGGGCGCGGGTTAACCTGTCATTAAACCAAACAGTGGATTTCATGGTCCTCTAACACTTAAACTTATTGTGTGATTTGTGTGCAAGTGTATTGTAGTTCAATGGCCATTGGTGGCTTTATTTTGTAGTAGGTAGGTATGATGAATCATCCAGGGGTAGGTATAAGTAGGTAAACAATTGCTGACCGGTCTCAATTTTTGATCGTTTTTTTTTTATCTCAAACAAACGGTGATGACTTTCGCGGTCAAAATTGATCGAGTTTGCGATCAGTGTGTGGAATGTGGATCCAAGTTTGGTAGGCACCATTTAAATTCGCTGCGCATACCGAAGGTCAACACGCTCATTTCATTTTCATCAAAACTCTAGTTCAATATCGGCGGCCAAACGACTGGGGAATAACACCCTTGGTATGTAGGAAAAAACACGGATCCCACAACGATTGTCTCTTGTCATCTGGCGACCTCTGAAGTGCCGGATATCACCATTAGGCCATTTTTTAACCCGGCAGGTGGTGAGCCTCCCGGCCACCTTCCGCGCGGTGGGGGGGGGGGGGTGCATTTTTTGCCCCCCCCCCGTATCTCCGAACAACTGGACGGATCCGTAAAATCCAAACGGCGTTCGATAGCCCTGTCAAATTTGTCTCAATAAAACAAAGTTCTTCGACCTCGGGGTCACTGATGACGTCACAGGTCAGGTCAAAGATAAAATGTTTCACCGTTCACGGGTCTTCTAGGGACTGCGCTTTAACACCGAGGAAAACGCATTTTGTCGAAAAAACAGCGATAGGGCGTCAGTTGCCTAGTACATATGTTGCTATTAGAGGTCACTGACAATACCAGGTCAGGTCACAGGTCAGGTCACCAAGGGTCAGCACATGAATCCAACTTTACAAAGGTTGTGCCATGCATGTTTTATGGCCAATTTTTCCATTTCCAACTCAATGGTGTTGGTTATAAGACCATCAGGTACGGTTTAGGTCACATTCTGGTGGAGGTCAGGTCAAGGTCAGGTCAAAAAGGTCAAATTTCAAAGTTGATAGTTTTGCATAAAATGGGTATTGATTCAATGCAGCTCGTCTAGGGGAATCTAATGGTGGTCTTTTTTTGCGCTACGAGGTCTAGAATTGCTAAAAATGAGTTTGAAAATTGGACGTTCTCAATTTTGAGCAGTTTTTTTTCGCTATAACTTAGCCAAAAAGAGGTATCGATCTCAAATTTGATATGTGAATAGAAGGCGGTAAGGACTTTCACATACATATATTCCGATTTTTTCGAAATTCAAAAAACTTTTTGGATCTTTTGGCTATTATATTAAAAAAATATTTTTTTTTATTTTTGGGGGTCAAAATCAAGAAATTTCAAGAATCCGAGATAGCAGTTTTGTAGCCCTGTTAATTCTACACCTTTTATGTCTGAAACATTTTTCTGTATCTCTAAAGCTGTAGGCCTGACAGCTCTTCCCGCGAAACCTTTTTTGGGGTCGAAAGTGGCAGAAATGACGTCACTCCGACGTCATTAGCGGCCAACCTATCGTCACCGTAAACACGTCACCGTAAATTCGCATTTACGGTGTACCCGCATGCCACTATTCTTCTCATTCGGCCTCTTCGCATAACCTGCGCCCAGTTGGGCTATTGGCGGACCCTACCACTCGTTGGGGGGGGGGGCGTTTCGCCCCCCCCCCCCAGATCTCGGAAAGTTACCGACCGATTTTGAAAATTCAAACGGCACTCGATAGCGCCACCAGGGAGCTACCTAGTACCTAGTGACCAAGTTTCGTTGACCTAGGTGCAACCGATGACGTCACAGGTATGAGGTAAGGTTACAACTCACAGGTCTTATTTTTCACCGATTACGGACCTTGTAAGGAATGCGTTATAAACTTATATCATCGAATAAAAGGCATGTATCGAAAATCAGCGATGCAGCGTTGATTGCCTAATACATATGCTGCTTAGGAGGTCACTGATGCCAGGTCAGGTCACAAATTAGGTCACAATATGGACCCAACTATACTAGGGTCGTGTAATATGTGTTTTATGGCCAATTTTACATTGGCAAATTCAATGGTTTGGGTTATGCGATTATGAGGTCACTCCGACGTCATTAGCGGCCAACCTATCATAGCCTTTGGAAAAATTTCGGTCACAATGTGCAATAGCTATTCACGGGAGGGTACTGAGAGTTTGGTGACGATCGGCGCAGCGGTCTGGAGATATACCGAAAAAACTAAAGGGGGAGGCAAAAAATGCCCCCCCCCCCACCGCCTGGAAGGTTAAAGACCGCAGGTCACGGTCGGGTCACATCTGGTCAAGTCGGCCTTTAGCTCAGGAGATTCATTTTGGATAACATTCAGCTTATTACGGATCACGGAAGGTGCGAAATGTAAAGCTTAGACATCAGGCACGTAAGAATCATACCTACATAACAAAGTTTCGAATCGCTTGCGATCAGATTGTATCACTTCCGGCACTGAACAAGCTGCTTCCGTCGTTAAGACTCACGTAGATAACCTAGCGTCAGGTGTCTCATGCGAGAAAGTGAGATTGAAGACGCATATTCCTGGCTCCTGAAAAAAAATATTTCTTAGCACTGAGAAAATTGCAGGGTAGCACCATCACCTCCTCGGCTGGGGAGGGTAGGTACTTACTACTTTGGCATATCAAGCTTGTTACGGGCCCGACATCAGATCACCAAAGGCTGCGGCAATCACACGGCCTTCGTCATGATAAGTTATCACGACGCGCAGCCTGTGAATCAAATCACCGCGTCAAATCAACAATCTGCTAAGTACCACTACCAACCATGCTCATACTCAGTTATCGATTGCGCGGGCGACTCATCACGTAGGTATCCATATCTTCGACGGGCCAAATATGTTGCGCATTCCAATGCTAGCAATCGAGGTTCGAGAGGGGCTCGATTGTTTAAGCCCGCTACGTGACTCAGCACCGGTCAACTCGAAAGGCAGGGCAGTTCATCCCGGGTCGTCGTCGTTGTCTTATAGTTGGGTGTAAAGTCCACAGTCCACAAGATGTGAATATCAACAAGATATGGATATCGCCACATATACCACATACAAAGTTTCAACCATGCTGATTTAGTTTTTACTAACAATTAATCAAAGCAGCCTCTGTCAAGCCCTTCTCAGATTGACGCTATTCGGCTCGATCAGATCAGGCCCGTTTGTTTTGCAGGACTGCCCGTAACCGATATTTGCTTTCTCTCGGGCAGACACCACTTGGACATCACCAAGAGCCATGAGCGATTCCTCCGAATACGACAGTGGTAAGCACACTTCATCACCTACTTGACCATTGGTAAAAGGCCTACGATGTAAGAATGTCTTGAATGAAATCAAATATTTTCTACAGTTTACATTTTATTTGAATACAGTATTCACAAGGAGTTGTAGAAAGAGCGAAATTTTTAAGAAAAAAAGACTTTGCATAAAAAGCGAGATTTTTAAAAAGCGACTACATAAAAAGCGAGATTATTTTGCAGAGCCATTATTTCTCCGAACAGAGGGAAGGTTTGTTTTTCATAGAACCACAAATCTTTCGGCAGTCCGAAGTTCATCATGAAATGATCCGCTCATCAGTGTGCGCGCAGTTCGTTCAAATATCCCGACCTGGGTAATAGCTCGGGAATACAATACAATCGGGCAATAGATCGGCCGACTGTTTATGTTTGTCGGACAGACGACCTGGCCGAAGATTTCGAGGGACTGGCCGTGGATAATCCCCCGCCAAGGAAGTACAAGTGCGGTGTCTGTAAGGAGGTCGGCGACCACTTCATCAACGACTGTCCCACGGTGAGCGCTGAAGCGAATCACGCTCGAGAAACAATTGTGTGGATCCGATACTACCTTGCACAATACACAAAGTCAGGAGCATAGCAAATGATGCATGCATAATACACTTAGCTCGTAAAGAAAACACGGTGACTGATTTGAGTCCCCTCGAAAACCTTTCTCGGTATTAGTTAATTGAGTCAACATGTTCCTTACTCTGAACCAGTACCCTATCTAAACCAATCCACCGTTCCGTCTCATCATTTGCGACGCATAAATTGCTATTTCAAATGACCCCCTTTGGCGCGGCAGGCGGCGGAGACCGGCCAGCGGACGCCCTACCAAGGCAAGAGGCGCTGTTTCGGTCAGTACCAGTGTAGCAGCTGCCTACGCCTGTGGGTGTCCAGTCGCAGCTGGGCCAACACCCAGCAGGCGTGCCAGGACTGTAAGGTCTACGTGTACCCGCACAGGCAGGTCAGTAGCACACCGCCACAGACCGTCCCCTCCCATCCAGTCCTGGCAGGGGCTGGAACACGTACGGCGTAACCAATTGCGGATTACGGTCGGCAATGGTTCGCAGTATCTTTATCAGAAATGAACACTATCATGAGGACCAACCCCTATCTTTATCAGTATCTTTATCAGAAATGAACACTATCATGAGGACCAACCCCTCACCCCACCGCTAGCAAATGCATCATATCTCTAAGTGAAACTCTCCAGGTGTAGTAACTAGTAATACTGTGTACTAATTATATCACACACGGTGAGCTCGACTCGCTGTGATACTTTTCTTCAGTAATTGTTTAACAAATTGTCAAAATCAGCCGGTGTCTCCCCTGACACTTTTCAGAGGTCGCTGTATAAGCCCCAAGGGATGGACGACGTATGTGATCTGGACAAAAATCATCAGCAACAACTGTGCGGTAGATGCCATCGGCTAGGCCATTCGTGTGTGCAATAGAAGCATCACTGGTCAGCTACTGTGGGAGGAGGGGGATTCTGGTGTGGTAAGCGAACCGGCACACCGGACAGCCTAGCGGTCATACATGACCGACCATTCCTCGTCGGCCAGTCATATCGTCGCTACCGTTCTCCCGGTGCCGTGTTCGCTACTGTTCTTCCGGTGATATGCGTTCTTACCGTTCTCCCGGTGCTGTGTTCCGTACCGTTCTCCCGGTGATATGCGTTCTTACCATTCTCCCGGTGATGTGTTCGCTACCGTTCTCCCGGTGATATGCGTTCTTACCGTTCTCCCGGTGCTGTGTTCCGTACCGTTCTCCCGGTGATATGCGTTCTTACCATTCTCCCGGTGATGTGTTCGCTACCGTTCTCCCGGTGATATGCGTTCTTACCGTTCTCCCGGTGCTGTGTTCCGTACCGTTCTCCCGGTGATATGCGTTCTTACCATTCTCCCGGTGATGTGTTCGGTACCGTTGTTCAGGTGATGTGTGTTACTACTATTTTCCGTTGATATGCGTTCGAAATGCGTTCCTACCATTCTCCAGGTGATATGCGTTCTTACCGTTCTCCCGGTCAGACGATGCTCACACTGCCTAGGAAACGTATAGGATCGGCCCAGCACGCGCATTGCCATTGCGTGTGTGGTGTTTTATGATCAGTCAGATGTTTTGACATACATCAGGTGTTCTGTATGTACGCTGAGCTATAAGTGATTGTCGTTTTGTACCCCTCAGCGTGAGGGGGTGAGAGATTAGCTCGTTGAGCGCATTACCAAGAGCCAGAGCATGTTCAGTCATGTTGGCGATGTTCACATTAATTGTTTCAGGGACCAAGACGGTAATGTATGTGTTAATACAAAATATGGGTAAATGGCCAATGGGCAGAACAGCTCCAGATTGTCCCATATCAGTATGTTTGTGAGGACGGAAAAATAACAAAGCTACCTAATGAAGCACAATGTCTAATACTTAGTGCACAATTCCTCTGCGTAGTTTCTTTATGCCTGCTTTCCTTGACACCGTGTGTCGATTTTAGCAAAGACGCGTAATGCTAAAACCGGTATATTACCTCCAGCTCCTTTTGATGTCGTTACGCATTCGTTTCGATGTCATTCGTTGCCTCAGCCACTGCGGGGGGGGGGGGGGGGTACAATTTCACGTCTCGACCAAAGACACGGATAGCTCGACACCGCTGCCGGCCGGCTCGGCGGTGGCCGGCCGGCCGGCGCGCGGCCAATTTGCACAGCGGACACCGGGGGACGGGACCAGACGGCCGGCTCGCCGCTCAGCGCCGCGCGCCTCACCTAGTACTCCTCGCCCATCTCGATGCGCATGCGGCGCTGGATGTTGCGCATGTCGCGCAGCACCTTGAGCTGCGCACAGTGGATCGGGTCGGCGTTCTTGGAGCCGGCCGGGCGGCGCGGCCGCGGCTGGCCGGCCGGCCGCGAGCGCGGCTGCACCGGGCGCAGAGGGAAGTTCTTCTGCATGGAGAAGGTGACACCACGCGGGCGCACACTGTTGGGCTGAGGACGGGACGGGAGCGGCGGTCAGCGCGGGCGCCAGCGGTGTCCGATGGCACAGCGTGCCGCTCGGAGTCGGCTCATAAACTGCTTTGTCCTGCACAGACGGCCAGCAGACACCGCCACGGGCCGACGGATCGTGTGGTGCCGGCGGCTCGGCAGCTAGGTCAGTGTAAGGTCGTCGCAGCGCTGTGTTTTGAATTTGAACCGAGCTGGCTAGGTGGCTGCGAATGATACCAGTCAGCCCCGGATCAGGTGGTAGAGAAAATTACATACTGCCTGATTAATCCATTTTTACATGGTTAAAAATAACGGTCCTTTCATCATCGAACAGTGGTAGATAAAAGGAAATGAATAGTTGAATCACGTTACGTCATCAATGAGGTATCACCTGATAACACTTTTTGCATACTCAGTGGCCGTACGTACCTGTATGCGTGTGTTGACCCTCATCGGTCGTCCCGGCCTGGCGGGCAGGCCGCGGCCGGCCCGTCCGACCAGTCTCCTGCCACGCACGCTGCTACCGTCCTGGCCCCCGGCGCCCACACCGGCTCGCGACAGCTTCTTGATCTGGAGAGCACAACGCACCGCGATGGTCAGTGGTCAGGGCACCGGAGCGGAACCAAGATGGCAGTGCGAATGCACGTTCTCCCTAGCGGCTCCTCTCCCCTCGCCTGCCTCGAAGTGTGTACCTCCCCCGCCGCGGCGCCCCTAGTATCTCACCTGTTTGTAGAGTTTGAGCAGACAGCAGACCTGGCGTCGTCGCTCCTCCATCATGGTCTCCAGCCGGCCGATCTGTTCCTCCAGCTGACACCGGTCCACGCTGCCGTCGGCGCGGCCCATGTCCGTCTCCAGCTGCTGGCAGACGCACTCGAGGCCGGCAAACTCCTCGGCCAACTCCTCCAGCAACTGTTTTAGACTGCGCTTGGTCTTGCGCAGCGTGGCCGGGTTGCAGAGCATCTTTTGCACCTGGACGGACGCCGCCGAGCGGGCGTCCTCGTCGTACCCGGACATCTGGCGAACGGGTCAGTGAGGCAGTCAGGGTCGGACACGGACAGCCGACCCCACCCGGGGGCTGGCCGGGTGTGACCTACCATTTACCAATAATTTAGTTATCCAAATATTCACATTTTGCTTTAACATATGTCGTAGGTAGACGGTAACAAACAAGACTTTCGTCCCGAGTATGTAACAATTATCAGCGACGTGCAATAAAGCCTACAAGTCATACGTCATTCAAATGCCCGTATCTCCCCCAGTTCACTGCACTGAGTCAGAGTGCTCTGACCGATACCGGCGCGCCCCGTACACACCTTGTTGGCCGGCGCCGGTCGGTAGGCGGCGCGTCGCGTCATCTCACGCGTCTCCGAGTGGTCAATCACACAGCCCTGCCGGTCCCGCTCGTAGCGCGCAAAGTCGGCAGTGTTGTCCGGGCCGCAGCTGGTCGGTACGGTAAGATACAGTACATGTACAGGCGAGCGCGCAGCACAGCAAACAGCACAGCACAGCCGGCGCAGCACAGCACAGCCGGTTACATGGTCCACAGCCACAGTATACAGGCGTAATATGACCAGAGATTACAAATTCACGAACGAAAAACGGTTCAAATACGAAATAAAGAGAGTATCCGCGGAAATCAGTCGGTCGGTTAAAAGCTCAGCAACTACATGATAAAAGCGATTACGTAATGAGCGACGTGTGCGAAATAAAAATGCGGTAGCGAGGTAGATACAGGCGAGGCGGACGCAACGACATACTGCAGTGCAACTAAAACGAAGCAGAACCTAACTGCGAGCGATCAGATTCTTATACTTGACCTTCTACCGACTGGTATCACACATGAGTAGTCTCGCATTGCCCGTGCGTTTACAGCGCTGCAGCAGCCTCGGGTAGGACATTAGCACGTCTTATCTAATTACTGCCGGCTACGCCACCAGTTCATAGTTCACATTGAGTATGATGGACGATGGTCCCACCACGCGCGGCTCCACCGTGCGTCATACGCCCCCTATCACCCCATATCAGACTTTCAACAACGAGCGCCACAGCTGCCAGGGGATGTGTCACCACAATCCGCCGCTGTGACTCGGGTGTATCACACGGTGTCTGACCTCCCTAGCTGAGTCAGACGTCTGTGTGGACGGTACTACCGGCACACAGAGTACGGCTCTGCCCCGCAGCCGTTATCTGGTGGTGTGTATGTGGGTAGTGATGGTCATAGCACCCAGCCGGCCGGCCAGCCTGGGGGCGGAAGGGGTCCCGTCAGTCCGGCGCCACACACTGCCCCCGCAGACCGGACGAGTGCGGCAAACAAAGCATACTCAGCAGACTGGCAGTAACGAGGCCGGGAAGCAGGACATGACTGGCAATAAGCAAACTGAGATAAACCATGGCGCATTGCAGTCAACATATTGGCATCCGACTGGCAGCAAAATGTAGTCGGGTGATGACATCCAACTGGCATTGACAAGCAGCAGACTAGCATCTACGCAGTTCCTGTACGACTAACCTAAAGACGCGTCGCCGATAAAATGGGCCAGCGGCGGGCGGGGATTCCCCACCCGGCCTGTCGACCGCCTGACCCACCTGCGCGGGTCCACCTCGATCTTATACTTGTCGATCTCCATTTTGTCGTGGTAGCGGAACGGTTTTCTGCGCCGGTAGCGGAGGAAGGGGCCGCGCGCCGGCAGCCGGCCCACTTTGATGTCGGGCAGCGGCGCGCCGGAGCGCGTGCAGCCGCCCGTCTGCTTGGCCAGACTCATCACATGCTGGATGTTGGCGCCGATGTGGTGGCTCTTGTTGGTGTTCTGATCGGGGCGGAGACGAGAAGGCAAGGGATGATCAGATATTTCCTCGAAAGTGATAAATTAACATGACCACCATGAGGAAAGGCATTGATACCTAGCAAACGACTGAATCATACCGCACACCCATCAACGTTATGAGAACGGGATCAATCTAGCCCAATGACACTTGAGCGAAAAATAGCTTCGTGATCGCAAAGTTTCGAATCACAGCTGTAACACATTCCTGCGCGAATATGAATATTTTCAATCTACACCCATGTCCATGTTTACTTCAGCCCCACTTGCCCTGCTGGCCGCTTCCGGCCTGCCCCGGCCCCCGGGAATCCCCGTCAGCCGTACCGACGATGACAGGAAGGGCAGCGGTGCGCGTCCCATCTGGTACTGCTTATCGCGCTGGGTGCGCGTCCGCTGCTCCCTCTCCAGTGTGTGGCGCGCCAGCCGAGACGGCGACTCGGAGTCGGAGTCGATACCGGAGTCGGGACCGCACTGCCGAGTCAGACCACGGAACATCAGAAAACAGTCAATAATAGGAAATACAATACACAGTCCATTATTTGTGCAGCTAGACATTTCGTTAGGCTACGAGGTGGATGAAAACCCGAAGAGAGTAGAGCTGATGCTGTGAACAGCGCGCCCTGTTTCACAGCCTGGAACTGTTACCATCGTCCCATTGCAACCAGTCCGTTCTCC